CGAGGCCCTCGACCCCGCTGGCATGGTCGGACTGGAACGGCTGTATGCCCACATGCTGGCGGACGAGCTGAAGCGCAATCTGGAGCGGCTCCAGAAAAACCTCACCTCGGATCGCATGTGGCGGGACGCCCTGGAAAGTCTCACGAACGAGCTGGAGTCGCGCGACTTCCCCGGCCCCGAGGTGGCCAAGCAGCCGCTCAAGTATTATCTGGATTATACGCAGCGCTGGATGAAGGTGTGGCCCAGGCTCTTGGATTGGGTGCTCTCGGTGGGCCAGAAGCAGGTGCTCCGACAGCAAATCGCCAGCGAGCTGAGCTTCAGCAGCAAGTGCGAGGCCAAGCTGTTGCAGAACACGGCAGACACGTTGAATCGGTGAGTGCGAGGAGTCACAATGCCAGAGGAGTATTACAATTCCAATTCCATCTCCTTCACAGCGCCCTGCTGCTGGAACTCTCGCGCAACAAGGATCTATGCGATGAGCAAGGCGTGGGCATGCTGACAGAGCTGGAGGATATCCTCCTCTACACGGGAAACTTTGAGCCATTGGAGCAGGTGTTCCTCCCCACCAAGAACACACACAATGTCTCGCTGTTTCTGTTCCTCTTCACCATTGCCCATGTAGATCGACTGCAGCATTCCGCCAACACGGACTGCCTGCTGCCCAAGACAGCCAAAGATGTGATTGATTGTGTGCCCCTTGTGGTGGGCCTCCTGACCATTCTGCAGCAGTTCCACAGGAACATAAAGATGCTGTACATCTCCTACATGAGTCAGTATGTGGTGACGGTGGCCGAGGCGCAGTTATCGTGAGTGGGGGGTTGTGGGGGATTATACTGCCTGCCAAGAATCGATTACAAAACTCTTTTCTTTTTTTTTTTAGGGACAAGGAAATGCTGGGACCCGAGGTGACTACGGTGCTACACTTCCTGCAGGCCTTTGTGCGGCTGGGTCGCCTGCCGATGGGAGTGCTCGAGCAGCGGATACCCAACATGATACTCTCCGAGTTCGAGTATCTGGCCACGGCCATCAAGTGAGGCGACTCTTAGGCTACACAAACTTTAATAAATTCAAAACAACAAAGAAATGCCTCGCTGAGGTACAAATGGAGATAACAGCAAAGATGAGGTACAGGATTCAGGATGCCGGATGAGTAAGTAATCTCCGTTTCCCCCCATGGAGTGGCCTCATTTATGTAATGACAGTGGGAGCAGTGCGGCCGGTGAATTTGGGCAACTGAGAAATCTCCAGGGCAATGTCAATCAAGGGCTTCAGCATGACGCTGGCCTGGCCCAAGACGTTCTCCTTCTCATAAGAATCAATGTACAAACTGAAAGGAGGAAGCACAAACACAAGTAAATATGGAGAAGAGTCGAAAAAAAGCATCATGCCAGTACTCACCGCACTGTGGCTCCGGAGCTGCCTGTGCCACTGAGACGCATCACGATGCGGCTGCCGTCCTCGAAGACGATGCGCAGACCCTGCTTGGTGGCCACCGACTTGTCCACGGGATCTGTGTAGCTAAAGTTGTCCGCCTCCTTCACCTTGTAGCTCTTGCCGCCGCTGGAGAAGCTCTTGCCCACAAATGCTGCCGCCGTGATGGTCTTCTCCATGGTGTCCATCATCTCGTTGCAGGGATCGGAAGCGCATTCCTCGTAGTCGTAGCGGGTGAAGTAGTTGCGGCCGTATATGGACCAGTGCTGCTTGAGGATATCCTCGATGCCCTTGCCCGTGTGCTGCATCACCGAGATCCAGGCGAGGGCGGCCCAGATGCCATCCTTTTCGCGGATGTGATTGGAGCCAGTGCCGAAGCTCTCCTCGCCGCACAGACAGAGGCGTCCGGCATCCATGAGATTACCAAAGTACTTCCAGCCCGTGGGCACCTCGAAGACCTCCTTGCCCAGCTTCTTGCCCACGAGATCCACAGCCGAAGCGGTGGGCATGCTGCGAGCGAATCCCTGGACGCCGTTCTTCTGGAAGTACGGAATGGCCTCCAGGTAATGGGCAATCACGGCCAGCGAGTCGCTGGGCGTCACGAAGAAGGCCTTGTGGCCGATGATCATGTTGCGATCGCCATCGCCGTCGAAGGCGGCACCAATATCGTAATCACCTTGGGCGACTGTGTCCACCAGATCCTTGGCGTAGGTCAGATTTGGATCGGGGTGGAGTCCACCAAAGTCTGGCAGTGGAGTGGTGTGGACCACGCAGGACTCGCTGGCACCCAATCTCTTCAGGAAGATCTCCTTCACATAGGGGCCGGTGACACCGTTCAGCGCATCGATCCTCATCTTCAGAGGCTTGCCCGTGACCTTGCCGCTGACAAACTCTTTGAGCTTGCCCATGTCAAAGATCTCTTCCATGAGGCGCAGATAGTCGGCCACCGAATCGATGACGTCCACGGTGAAGGGCTTGCCAGCAATATCGAAGTTGCTCACGCCCACCTTGGATATGTCGATCTGCAGGCCACGCACCAGCTTGTAATCCTTGATCTCCGTGGTCAGCTTGTAGATGCTGTTGGTGAAGGCATCTGGGGCTGGTCCACCGTTCTCGCAGTTAAACTTGATGCCGAAATCGTTGTCAGGACCGCCCGGATTGTGGGATGCGGTCAAGACAATGCCACCTGAAGGGTTGGAGGTACGGATTCGTATCATTAATTGACCCGGAAGACCTCTAGCAGATCACAGCGCGACAAATATATGCATAGATGCTTCGTTACGTGGTGGCTGTTATCAGCAAAGCTCTTTTGCTTTTACAGCTACAGTAAAGCCCACACCTGACGCACTCACCCAAGGCCTTGTTATGACGGATCAGGCTAGACACCGCCGGAGTGGAGAGGATGCCGTTTTGCCCCACCAGCAGCTTGGACACGCCGTTGGCAGCCGCGATGCGGACAATCAGCTCTGCAGCCTCCTTGCAGTAGTAGCGCCCATCGCCACCCACGACCAGGGTGGAGCCAGCGAGAGCAGCTCCATTGGCGGACAAAGTGGCCTGGACAAAGTTTTCCGTGTAGTTGGGCTGAAGGAAAACCTTCACCTGTGGAGGAACAAAGTGCGGGATTCGAGACAGCCGAGATGATTTTCTTGATTGTAGTTGTAAACCTTTTTGCGCAATCCACTGGTGCCTGGCTTCTGGCCCTCGTAGGGCGTCGTTTGGACCGTTTCCACGCTGAGAGACATGCTGCTAACCACTGGAGTTTTCCGGCTGCTGGTTGATTTCCAACTGGACGACCGACCTGCGTTTGCGTGCGATGAAAATTGAGTGTCGGGCAAGAGCTAAGCGAATTCTCCTCCCACTGATAAGCGAGCGCGATGTTCTGGCGGTTCGGCTGCGACGGCACTGATAAGCGCTATCATCGGTGCGTGCTGCCCCCCAGGCATGACCAGTGCTTGAGGGGTGTGTATCATCGGGTTTGCTTGATCATCCATTAATTAATCAATGCATTAAAATCGTAAAATAGTTAGGATCATCATTATTTATCATAATTCAACCCACATCGCGGGCCAAACGCATATGGCCGGCTTTGTTTGCTGTAGGGTGCAATGTCATTCAAGGGCATTCTTATTTAGATGCCGGCCTACGAAAGTCTTGACTGAAAAGTATGTTAATAGTACAAGCCCGGGCTGCCGAAAGTCATAACAAATGATCAATTGAATGAACAAATATTTAATTGGTTCAGGCCAAATAAACAAAAACAAACGTTTGTTTAGGTTTGTTTTTTTTAAATAGACCAGAGCTGCATTCGCAGGTTATCGTAGCTCCAAGTAAAAATACCGAAATATTTTCTGGTAGCACACGGTCACACCGCCTACGAAGTTTGACAGCCGAGTCCGTTCCCCGTTCCACTTCCACGTCACGAACCGTCATCGAGAAAGTAGCCGCTGCCTTGATTTGGACTCTTCAGAATTGAATTGCTCGCGAAAGAAATAACTAATATCCAAGTAAGTTGGTTTGTGACGAAAAAAAACGCTCTCGCTAAAGCTGCGCACTGTTTGTGATTAGCGTTTATGTGATAAAACAGCATAACAAGATCGTGAGCTGCTGCCCTTTTGTGGCTCCCATTCCAGTGGCTGCCCTTCCACGTCAACAAAAAAGTGAAACGTTGAAACATTTTCTCCTCTCTTGCAGCATGTTCAAACAAATCCTCGCCCTGTGCGCGCTCTTTGCGGTGTTTAGCGTTTGCTTGTCCGAGGACGAGACACGTGCCCGCCTCCTGGTTTCCAAGCAGATTTTGAACAAATACCTGGTGGAGAAGAGCGATCTGCTGGTGCGCTACACCATCTTCAATGTGGGCAATGGTGCTGCCACCAACGTCCAGCTGGTGGATAATGGCTTCCATCCCGAGGCCTTCGAGGTGGTTGGTGGCCAGCCCACCGCTACCGTGGAGAGGATTGCCCCTCAGACCAACTTCACCCATGTCGTGGTGGTGCGCCCCAAGGCCTTTGGCTACTTCAACTTCACAGCCGCCGAGGTGTCCTACAAGCCCGTCGAGGAGGCTGAGGCGGTAAGTCACTGATTTCTTTAGTCACCTACTTGGTCTAAGGATTCATGTGCTTTCAGCTCCAACTGGCCATCAGCTCGGAGCCCGGTGAGGGTGGCATTGTCAACCTGAACGAGTACAACAAGCGCTTCTCCTCCCACTGCTTCGACTGGGTGGCCTTCGCCGTCATGACCCTGCCTTCCCTGGCCATCCCCCTGGGCCTGTGGCACCAGTCCAAGAGCAAATACGAGCGTGCTGGCAAGTCCAAGAAGCACTAAGCCTCTCTCGTATTTGAACAAATTTCCAGAGATTTATTTGAACGCCCATTACAATTCCGTACTATATTGTTGCTTCAACCTCCAATCGATTCCACTTCCATGCGCTCATCCATCGTGCCACACATTTAGCATATTGTACAGCTCCCGTTTGGAATTGTAACTGGGGAGGGGAGGCGTTAAATCGTTTTAGATTTGATTCGAAGGCGCATTGAAAGAAACAAGAATAAAACTAGACCATCAAGAGTTAAGCTATTTTCGTGTCATTAGACTGGTTTTCTAAATAAATTAAATCAAATTTATATTACACATTGCTTACTGACTAGAGGATTGGATTAACAGCTTCACGATAACAAATACTTTCGCCCGAAGATCTCCGCCTTCTTCTCGAACATTGACGACTTGATGGGCGTGTTGATCTTATAGAAGGCGTTCATGGAATGCTTAATGTACGTATCGTACATCTCGTTGAAGAAGCTCTTGATGCCCTCGTCGTTCTTGTTGTCGTGCACAATTATGAAGCGGATCTGGCTGGCCGTGATGAAGGCGGAGACGAACCATTGATTGAAGCGGTCTATCGACTTTAGCTGCATATTGGCCGTTTTCCATTTGTGCTCGTCCACCAGGTCCAAGGCAGCGTGAGCAATGAACTGACTCAGGTGTCTGTGGTCCTCTTTCTGCAAGGATGAGAATGATAGCGTTTTAGATGGATTCCAGCACTCTGTATTCTGTGGCGATATTGTACCCTGAATTCCTTGTTGACAGTGCTAAACTCCTTCTCGTAGATGGGATTATCATTGTGGCCGACAATAACAAAATAATAGGTGGACATACTCGTTTGATTTTTGCTTTATTTTATTTTTTTTTGCTGGCAACAATAAAAACAAGGAGTATTTAGCACTACTGCCTTTTTGAATAGCACTAGTGGGTGGCACAAAATACCAAAATCAGTGTTTAAAGAAGTAATCGTTTTGCAACACTTTTTATTCGCGCCTTTTTCCTACAGCACATTCCTCGTTTTTATGCCATAAAATGCAATTAAATTGTTTAAAAGTGCCTTTAAACGCCTTGAAGAACAGCCTCGTCATAGCCAACATCCTGCCATCTTAAGGCGTGTCTGTAGAGTGTGCCCAAAGCCAACGTGAGTGCGGAAGTGTGTGTGCGTGTGAAAGTGCAAAGAAATCGTTTGGCCGCAAGGTACACCATTCATTATTATTGTATTTTAGTATGCTTTGCCCATTGTTTGTTGCGATTTTATAAGTTTGGCTTCTGTATTTTACCCGCTTACACACACCCAGACACCCACACAGACCCCCCACACACGCACACACTCCAAAATAGTCATGTATTAAACTCTCCAGCGAAGAAACCAAGAAAATGACTGATGTAAATTGTCTTACAAGTGAGCACATTGCAACAACAACGAGTACAGCAGCCGCAGCAGCGGAAGCAGCCGAAACCACGAGTCCGCCCAGAACTCCAACCAGAAATGGACTGGAGCTAGAGCCAACGTCTCCATTCGTGCTGCGAGCACCGCCCAGTGCCAAATCGAAGCTCATCTTGCAGAACATGGAGGAGGTCCTCTACTCGGTGAAGCAGAAGCATCGCGAGAAGCACAAGCGAAAGCGCGAGGAGAAACGCCGTGCCGCCCTGCTGGCCGAAACCGAAGAGAGACCCCCAGGAATGGATGTCAGGGAGCCCAAGCCCCAGCCGCTGCCGCTGCGGGAGAAGGCAGCTCAGGAGAACGGCCTGAAGAATGGCAAGCGAAAATCGAGTCCCCTCAAGTGCAGCACCCCCGTGGCCGAACACCATAGCATACTGAAGCATTTTCCCAAAACTGGGAGGCCTGAAAATGGGGCCACAGCACCGCCAGCCAAGGCCAAAAGTGCCACCAATGTATTCGAGTTCATGATGAACGCCAGAAACCGATCCATAGGCGTCAACGATGGCGGCAGGGATGCCTCCGAGTCCCCTGCCGATCAGGCAGATGATGCCGCTGCTGCGGGCACACCCACGTCTAAGCGCAAGCAACTGCTCCAGGACTGGAACGATCGCAAGGGAGGAGCCAAACGACGACTCCAAGAAGAAGCGAGGGAGGACTACATCGATCAGCAAATGGACCAGCGAGCCAAGAGGTAAGACTCCGTCAGTGGTCTACAGAAAGGGATAGTTAACTTTGAAATGTTTCCGCAGATTGAAGAAAATGCTGACAAGGACTGAGGAGCCAAAGGAGCCGACCCCAGCCGCCTCATCGGCGCCTACGGTTCCTGTGAAACGTGGTCGGGGTAGGCCACGCACACGCCGTTTGAGCTCAGTGGATGTGGGTGGGGGTGTCGGTGTCGGTGTGGTAGCTGTTAGTCGCTCACAGGTCACTGACACTGACACGGCGGAATTCCTAGCTAAACTCTCCTCTCCCACCAAGAAACGCGACAGTCTCTTGGGCTACTTTCCCAAAGTGGAGTCGCCCAAAGAGCTGCCCGTGACGATAGAAACCCCTCCACTGGACACACCAAAGCGACGACCGCAGCGTAGGAAAAGCATTGTGGAGACGGCATCCATCGATGTGGAATCTACGGGCACGCCCCCGGGGCGACCGCGTCGCTCTTGTGCGGGAAAGGCTCGCTACGACTACGACCTGGAGACGAGTCCCACGAAGGCAAAGGCAAGCGTGGCAGCTGCCGCAGCAAAAAATATGCAAAAAGCCGATGAATCCATTGAGATCATTGATCTGGACAACAGTAATCCGGTGTCCACGCCAAAGAAGCTGGCGCCGCTCTTTGTCAGGCAGCTGCCCAAGCCCAGTCCGGATCCCTCTGTCCTCAAGGCTCGTCAGGCATTCCTGCAGTCGGGCGTGCCCGAGAAGATCAGGCAGGAGCAGATCCGCCAGAAGAACTTTGAGCAGTACTACGAGGAGAGCTACGAGGTATTTCCGAGCATAGCCCACGTGGGCTGTGAGAGCTATGAAACGATACGTGATGGATCGCTGCGGATTCCCTTTCCACTGCGGAAAGAAGATGACGGTGAGGAGGTGTCGCTGCCATCTTATAAGAGGCGCTCCAAGGCGAGTGGCTTCACCAATTGCCAGGCATCCGACTGGCATCAGGCCTACAACAATGGTACAGACAAGGCGGCATACACGACTCTGCCCCAGCTGGACAACAAGCGGGCATTTGTGAAGCTCTGGAAGAACGAGTTCGAGCGCTTCCCCACCTTCAAGTGCTACAACCAAATGAGGGAGAAGTACCGCCACTTCAGCGCGATCGACTCCGCCCAGGACACGCAGCAGATGGGCGAATCGTTTGTGGTCACTCGGCGCACGCTGCGCTCGATGGAACAGTTCGATCACGGCAGCACGGAGGAGGCCCAGCCCCCGCTCTCGGCGCCGAACGGAGAGCTGCTCTTCACCGAGAAGTACAAGCCCCTGCTGTTCGAGCAGGTCCTGGTCAATCTGACGCCCGTGCACGAGCTGCGGGAGTTCCTCTCCGGCTGGAATGGCAACGGTGGCCGCAGCTCGCAGACCTTCGACGACTCCTCCTTTGACTTTGGCAACGACTCCAGCTCGGTGGGGGCCACCAGCAACACCATCGTACTGGTGGGCCCCTCCTCGAGCGGGAAGACCAACGCTGTCATCGCCCTGGCCAACGACATGAACTTCAATGTGCTGGAGATCAATGCGGGGATGAAGCGGACGGGCAAGAAGCTCATCCAGGAGCTGCAGGAGGCCACGCAGTCGCATCAGATACGCAAGGACAGCAAGACGGGGGGCGGATCCTCGCAGCAGCTGCTGCACAAGCTCCAGAAGAGCGGCCTCAAGGCCAAGAAGCAACAGCAGCAGCAGCAGCAGGGGGAGCCAGCAGGCGTGGAGGCTGTGCGAAAGTCCCTGATACTCATCGAAGATGCGGACATTCTGTTCGACAACATGGACGCGGGGTTCACGGACGCCATCTACACGCTGGCGGCCAGCTCGAAGCGGCCCGTGGTGGTGGTGGCTTCCGACCCGAACTGCTCGCATCTGCAGCGTATGATGCAGCAGAACCAGATCCACTTCCAGGCACCCAATGCCCTGAACATCTCCAGATTCCTGGCTGTGCTGGCTCTCATGGAGAACTGTCCCATCGAGCTGGACGAGCTGATATCCCTGTATCTGTACAACCAGCAGAACCTGCGCAAAACCCTCATGGAGCTGCAGTTTTACATCCAGAGTGGCGGCGACCTCAAGGGCCAGGCTGCCGCCAGTCAGCAGTCGGTGAAGCAGTCCCCCAGCAAATCCTCCACACGCCTGGCCACTGTGGATGGCTGCCACATACACCAGCGACTGTTCGAGTTCTTCACCTGCTCCCAGAATGTCCAGCATCGGATTCCCTTCCCCGTGGACTTTCGTCTGCTGCGCCTGAATCTCTCCGAGCTGATGGCCACCTCTGCTCTGCTGAAGGATCAGCAGCAGCCCCCGCCTGCCGCCACTAGGGCCAGTGCCAAGCGGAAGACCCGCTCACCCAAGAAGGCCTGGCTGAGCAGTGCCACTAGCCAGCGGAAGAGCGAGGAGAGCTCTCCGCTCGCCACACTGGCTGCCTTCTACGACAACATTTCGCTGGCTGCTCTGATGGACGCCAACCAGGACTGCGGCGATCGGCTGCAGCTGTACCTGTCGGAGGATATCTCCCATATGCTGGTGGAGCAGGCTCTCCTCACTGGCCTGGAGGCCAAGGAGTGTGCCTACAACCTGTTCGACAAGCCAGCACAGAGGTAGGTGGTCTTCACATAACCCAAAGGTACACGAATAAACGAACTGAAATGTCTTTCCTCCCAGGGTGACCATCGGCGAGCACTTGGGCATTGGCCAGCTGCGCTCTGCCGCCTCCAAGGCACTCGACTACGAGCCCGTGCTGCGCTCCATTTGTCGCAGTGAGAGGGAGCGCGTGGGGCAGGAGCGCAAGTCGAGTCGCTTCTATCACTATCTACGCAATCACACGGTGAACGTGACGAGCTTCGCCATGGACTCGTTCGACTCTGCGTGCAGTGTGTTCCAAGAGGCGGCGGCGATGGCGGACGACGATTCAAAGGATCATTCAATAGTCTAGTATAATTGTTGGCTGATGAGTAATTGCAATTTATTTGATCAAGGTAAGCAGAGTTCTTAGATCTTCTTAGCCTAAGGTTTTTCGGTGCGTTGGCGAGTTTGCTTGCTTAGCTATAAATGCCGATGGGAGTCGTATGGGAGAGTCGTATCCTAGCTAAACGTTAATTACACTATATACTTATGTTAATAAATCAATTATATGACTTGTAACCACTTGTACAATGTACATCCACATTGATCCACTAGCAGCAACAGAGGAACCCAGAGCCAGAGCTCTTCTTCATGGGTTCCGCATCATCCGTTGGCGCTGGACTGCTGACCCGCTTCTCCTTTTCCTGGTTCAACGTGGGCTGCGCTTGAATGGGCGTCGTCGTCGTAGCAGCAGTCGTGGTGGTCCGAAGTTCACCAATTTTGAAGTTCTTCAAATCCTTCTCGGCATCCGACGAGTGACCGGCTTGTCTGAAGGCCTTGCTGGCATCTTTACCGCCGTATTCGAGCAGCAGATCCTCCCCGCCCGGATGCTCGCTGAGGAACTTGGTCACATCGTAGACGTTGCCCTTGATTATGATCCAGCAGGGTTTCCCCTTTTTGCCATTCTGCTCGGCCACCTCCGACAGCTCGTACAGCTCTGACATAATTGTATTCGATAATTGATTGAATTGCCGTTGGAACAGCAACCTTGCTTTATGGCTGCTGTTAATTTAGCAAGCGTCTGATAGCGATATGATTTATCTTGTTTCCGCTAATGGAATCTTCTGAGTCCGGGCCCGGGCGTTGTTATTAGTTCAACGGACTCTCGCACAATGGACGCGTGCCAGGTACGCCCTTTGCTTATGTTTAACATTTATCAATAGTGCGAAATCGGTTCTTTGCCTGGTTTTTACCGTCTATAATTGGTAACAAACCCAATGAATGTGCAATTTCAGTTCTATCGCTCGGTTGATAAGAAATACGTGAGAATTTCACGTCCCCTAATGTCTGTTGCTGCTTAATAGCTCTTACTTCCTTACTTAACTCAGCCAAGTTAATGCAAATTGATTGAGAATGATGCCGTGTAGTGGTCCTCGTAGCTGCCACAGCGGTGGATCGGTGTTCCATCCGCTGTACGGGTGGATGATTCATTGTTGCTAATGTCTGGGAAGCGATTTATCTTCTATTAGACAGCTTTTTTTGGGTGATAACAGTATGTGATTGTGTGACAGTGACAAAGAAGGATGGCAGGCAATGGGGAAGTTCTACTATCTTTGCTGGTCAATCCGCTTCTCAGACAGCTTTTTATTAGCCATTACTTGCCTCAAAACATGACTAATCCGCATGAAACTGTTGGAAATCTGCGTGTATAGCATTCAGCTGTTGCGCAGGTGCAATTTAAATAGGAATTTCATAGGTGCCAGCAGCTGTCACGCTGCAACTTGGATTGGACTGCAATTTGAATTTGAAAAGTTCCCTTTGACTCGTTATAACCTGTTGCACTAAATTGCTCCATAAATACACCCAATAATCCCATTTTGCAATCGAAAAACTGGTTTGATTTTTGTTTAATTTTTTGGCTTTCAAAGTTTATATTCTATATATATTTTGGAAATATATTTTAATTTGCTTTCGTTTTGGTTTCCCTTTCAGTTTCTGGTTTGGTTTTTCTTTTATATGAGACAACAACAATAATTGGTATTCATTTAATATATATGTATTTAGATATATATATATATATATTTATATATATATATATAGATTTATGTATCTGTGACGATTTGCTTAATGCGCTTTAAAAAATTTCGCTAGTGTTGAGTGCAAATTTGCTGCGTGGTAGATCCGATCGTAATTCCGATTCGATTTCTGGAAGGATGCGGGATGTGGATTAACTGGGGATCATGATAGATGGGGGGGTTAGGCTGGGGGAAATGTTTTTATTGGTGTGGATGTGTGAGTGATTACATTAACATAATGCTTTCCCAGGACTCGAGCGATTCCTCCTGCATTTTCAGTGTATTTACAAATGAATTTCATTGTTTTTTTGTTTTTTTTTTTTTTAATGTTATATACTTTTGTTATAAATATCAGTCGACGGCTTCGCATTTTCAAAACGCAGCTCGTGTGCGTTTCCATTTGTATTCTCGATTTAAATGTACAGATAGATACTCGTAAGATACCATATCAGAATTAATAAATATGTATCTATATCGTATCGTATCGTATCGTATCGTACATATATCATATAAAATGTAAAATTAATTACTTGTCAATGATTGTTGATTTGTTTTGTTTGAATTAATCGATCTGTTTTAATTTTAAAAAACGTAATTCAATCAATTGATTTACTATAATTTATAATTTATCGCGTTCGTTTTGCATTTGATTTACTTAGTTCTCGTTTAGTTTTTCAGCTAAACACAATTCGTTCGTATAATTCATAGACTCGACTTAACTCGACTTGACTCGATCTTCGTTTAGAATTTAATTGTTTAATTTAAAAAACAGTTTTGGAGGTAGTTGAAATTAGGCCTGTTTACGTAAATTATATTTAGTTATATTTAAATATCATATATTGTATGTACTATGTATGTATACTATATATGCGTGTATATGTAGCTGATTCAGCGATTTCGTTTCGATTTCGCCTCGATATTTTAGCTGGACTTGCTTCTCTCTCTTCGCTCTCTTCTCTTGTTCTCTTTATTCTTTATTAATTAGTTATTAATTAGTAAATTAATCTCTACACTTTGTTTAGTTTTCATTGTATGCTGTTCTCTGTTTTCTGTTTGCTTTCGTTTCGTTTCGCAATACTTCGGGCTATTTTTGGTATTTTCTTTCTATATAAACGTTGATCCATAGACATCGAGATATATCGTATGTAATTTTAAAAGTGTAGGCTTGTAGGACTTTTCGGTTTAGTAATGTTTTTTTTTTTGTATTTTCTCCTCCTTTTTCACTTCTTTTCCATTCGTTATCATATTTTCCTAGTTTTTCCGTTCGCTTTTCATCTAAATTTTCGGTTAAATGTTTATTTTAATTTGATTAAATGGATCGAAAGTTCTTGAAACCATTTTCTTTCTTTTCTTGAAAATTTTGGGGATCGTGTGGAAGTGGCCTTTGATTTTATGCAAATATGTGTATGTACATTGGATATACTGTGAATTTTTTTTGGAATTAATTATTCAATTCTAACATCGAAGTGATTGTAAATTATTTGAAAGAACCGCCAAGTGATCATGGGCTCTCTGCCAGTGTTGCCACTCTGTTCGCTCTACTACCAGTGCTAGCTGACAAAAGCTGAGCGCAATGATCTTCTAAAAATCTGGCACTGTTGGCGCCACTGAGCTAATGATGGACTTTCCAGCAAAAGGAAGACGATAGATCCTTATCGATATTTAGTCGATCGTTACAATTTCAAAAGCACAATCTCTTATTTTCTAAATAAGGAAAAAAACCAAAGGAATAAATCAAATTAAAACGAAAATTTCTCTACAATTTGGTTTACATAGATTTCATTTCATTTTTCTCGTATTTTTTTTTTTACATTGTAATTCCGTTAGCAAATATACAAATTTCAATTGAACTAAAAATTGTTTTGTTTGTGTGTGTGTGTTTTCTTTTCGTGTGTTCCAGCACATGGGCCATGTATAATAATAATATAGGGTATAGGGGCAATATAGTGAAGAACGGGGTCAGGGTGGGGCAGGTTGGGTCGGGTTTTGGGGGTTGGATAGAGTATAGTTAAGAGTTGGTTGGCTTCGCTAAAAACTAGAGTTATTCAAACTAAAGTGTATACCATATTGATCATAAAATTACAATTACATATTCACTTATATAATTTGTTATTATTTCCTTCTCTCCTCTCTCGCATCTTCTCCTCTCTTATATCTTTTCTGCATGTCTCTATTGTGGTATGGTGTCTCTTTTAAGTTTCTTTTTTTTTCATTTTGCAGCCGACAAATGGAAATGATTTTAAAATAACTAAATTAAGTTTATCGTTTGTCTGTATCTGTTTCCGCTTCTGTTTCTGTGAGTGATGCAAGGCGGCAGTCAGCGCAGCAGGTTCTCTCCACTCCTCTCACCATCTTTCGCTACTTCTTCTCCTCCTTCGTTCTCGAAATTTACAAATTAAATTCTGACTAATAAACAGTCTTTTCGTACCAGCGCAACGTTGGCGACAGACCTACACAAAATAAATCTGATCCGTTAAACTTTAACATAATGTAAGCTAACATAAAAAAAATATATGCATATTATATATATATGTATATAGTATAATTAATAATTAATAATAATGTATAGCCATAGAGCCATAGATGTATTGTGTAACTAAGAGTTAACTTAACACGAGCTCAGTTATGAGTTGGCCGCACAGTGGCTGCAATTCCGGCTATTGCAGCTGCAATGGCAGCTCATCATGCTAGAGTTGGAATTATTGCGGCTCATTGTGGCGGGGAGCAGGGACTCTGCCACCCCTTCCGCCACTGCTCCTGCTGCTGCTGTCTCGGCGGGAAGATTGAAGCTACTGCTCTTTAGGAGCTGCAGACCAGCCCCAATTGGCACGCAGACGGACAGCGGCGGCGTGGGTATCCTTTCGGGTGTGCAGCTCCCTGCCCCAGTCGCTGCGGGCGTGCCCGCGTAGATGTGCTGACTGCTGGCGGCTGTTGGACCTGGCCCCGCGCTCGGATTGGTCCCATACGCACAGGCCGTGCTCTTCAGCGTGGCCGCATTGGAGATGGGCAGTGTTGGCAGGGGGGCAGCGGCCAGCGAGGAGGCGGACGATGAGGTGGACACACAGGACGAGGAGGCCAGCGAGGAGGCCGAGGACGACATCGAGGCGGAGGAGGCCAGTGATGGAGGCTGGCTCGAGCAGCTGCCCCCCGCCGGCGGCGACTTTGGCGAACTGATGCGTGAGAAGAACTTGGTTATGGCGTTCGGCTTGGACTTGGTAGAGGCCGAGGACGAGGAGGCTGTGTATGTGGACGAGCCGCTGATGATGCCACCCGTGGCGGCGGCCTGCAGCGTGGTCAGGCGGTAGTTGGAGCTGCCACAGCCCGCCGAGATTTGCTCGGGCACATCCCTCACGGTCTTATTGGGCGGCGGCTTGGTGTACGATCTGGTGATCTCCGATTGCTGTTGGGCCGAAAAAGCACAAATATGAGCCAATGTTCTGGTTTCCATTGCTCGGCGAAGCACTCACCTGGTAGCTACTCCTGATCTGCAGATGACGATCCTGTCCGTACTCGCTGTCCGGCAGTGGTACGTGGTGGGGACAGCGCGGCGTCTGCTGCTGCTGCTGATATTGGTAATGTTGATGGTGGTCGTTGCTGTGACTCTGCAGCGAGGAGCCACACGAAGACATTGAGGAGGAGCTTTCGCCCTTGGTGCTGCCACTCCCGCTCCCCGTGTTTCCATACTTGAGTGTGGTGGCCTCGATGCCGCCTCGCGCCACGTTACTACTAATACTATTGTTGTTGTTGTTGAGCCCTGTGCTGCCACTGCCACTGTTGTTGCCTCCGCTGGAGGCGCTGTGCGTCGTTGGAGTTGTCATGCGTTGCTGCTGATGCTGATGGTGGGAATGTTGTTGCTTATTGTTGTGATGATGATGATGGAGTGGTTGCTGCTGCAGATGCTGCTGATTGTTGCCGGCGCTTCGAATCACAGAATCGCCACGTACAGCCAAAAGCTCACGTGCCTGGAGCGCATCTACGCGCATTCTACATCTAAATTGATCCCTGCAGAGAGACAAGACAATCAATCGGTGGATTAGCATTTATTTTCTCTCTGGGAGATTCGATTGAATCTGCTCGTTCGATCGCCTACCTATCGTCGGGTGGTGTGCTCAATGAGGTGCGGGTCGGAACGCCGAGCCGCTCCATTCCCGCGCAGCCGGCCGTCTGTACCGATAGCATCTGCAATAGAAACAAAAGCGGGAGACTCGCATTAGAACAAACATTACGCCAAAAGGGAGAGGGGTAAGGGCTAAAGTATAAGAATAATTCTAATCCTACACTCAATAATCCTCATCCTGACAGCTATCCACTTCGGCCACCGTCTGGTGGCGGTCCATCATTAGCCAGCGCTTGGCCACCAAACGATTGCCAAAGCACCCCGCCAGATCGCCCTCGGGGCGCCTGCTCACAAAGAACTTGAGGAGTATCTCAAACTGGTTCATGTCGTATTCCTTTAGGGGGCGGAAGATGAAGCGACCCGCATAGTAGTGGTTCTCCCGCAGCACAAAGGAGCTCTCGACGAAGAGAGTGGTCTGCAGCCAGAGCGAATTGTGGACCCTGGGCCGGCAGGGATTGCAGCTGAGGGTGCGATTGCGATGGCATCGGCTGAATTTCACATCGAAGTACAAGGTGAAACACTCCAAATGCCCATCCTGGACGACCTTCAGGCGTATCTCGCAATCTATTTGAAGATCCTTCTTGGTGGCCGTTTTCAAATCGAGATACAACACGCGATGACAGAGGGTGAGGACACCGTCGCCATTGGTCTTGGCGTACCGAGGCTCGGAGAGGGCACACCGACGCATGGCGCTCATGTTGAAGCCGTAGACGTTTCGCCACCAGTCGCAGAGACCCTTCAGCTTGGGCTCCGCGGCTCCCAGCAGATAGAGGATCGCCATATCGGGCAGGATGAAGCCATTCCTCTTCAGCCAGCGATCGCGCGCCTCGAGCACCTCCAGGATCTCCGAGTCCCAGAGCAGCGAGTGGCCCATCCAGTTGCACACAATCCCGTCCACTTTCTCGGGCAGCTGCAGATCGGCCATGCGCCCGTGCATCACCTTCACGGTGTGCTCGTAGTGGTTCTGCTTCACCACCAGCTCCGCATAATTGGTCACCATCGAGTGGTCCACGGCGTACACGCGCTTCGCCTCCCCCAAGCGGGCGGCCATCAGCGCCAGGGTGCCCACGCCGCAAGACAGAACGAGGATGACGCGCCCCTTGAACAGATGCGTGTTCTCCCTGATGACCTGTGCAAAGTAGTGCATGTGCTCCTGGTTCTTCAGCCGCGTGCGCATGTTCTGCACATGGGCATTGTAGTCGTGCCGAAAGTCCGCCGATGTCATGCGATCCACCTGCTCCAGTTCCTTCGGCACGCAACGCGCTGGCGTGGGTATAGGGGGGCAGGATCGCACCCTGACCTCACCGCCAGGCAGTCCCCGAAGCGGTTCATCTGTAATTGTGTACGTAACTTCGGTTGGCTCCGGCCTCTTCAAAATTTTTATTTTCTGCCCCATGCGTGCCGCTTGCACTCTTTGTGCCCAGGGAATCAGCACCTCGGGGGATTTCACGCGGCTGATCTGCTTGCAGTTGCTGGCAGCTGCCTGGGCTACGATTTTGCGTCTCGGCTCCGTTGCTTTTGGTAAGACATCAAATGTTTTGTTGCAGATGTTCTGGCTGGGATCTGCATCGGTGGAGGCACCCTTTCCCTGGCCCTGTTTCGACTCTTTTTTGTTACAGATTTTCTGGTGGTTTATGTTATCCAGTGCTGCGCATGGTGGTTGCGGGGGTCCTGGCAGCAACTGGGATATTTCGCTATAGTCGTTCAGGTGGCTAACGGTGGAGTCAATCTGGGGTCCCTGCAGTGCATATGGGTCTCTGTGTCTCCAGGTATTTGGTGGCCGCTGAGATACTCCGTTGTAGATGTTCTGATTGCCACCTCCCCTGTTGTGGCAGCGGTTGTAAGCTAACTCGTGCTCATACATTCCACGTGCTGCTGCCTGTCCCCAGATATTTGCTGGCACTTGGGGTACACCGTTGTATTTGTACTGGTTTCCGCGTCCCTTATTGCTGTTCACTTTCTGGTTGCAGTCAGTGGTTGAGAGGCCGCCGCGTCCCTGAGGTTCAAATGGGGCACTCTGATACGAAGGTGGTGGAAACAGCTCGGATATTTCGCTATAGACAATGTGGTCGTCATCGATCAGTCTCGAGGGTTGTGCTGGCACTTGGAATACTTTGTTGTAGTTTTTCTTATTGCCGCTTCCTTTGGGTGCCCAAGGGGCTCTTTGTAGCGAAGGTTCTGGTATCACATGGCATGCACTGCTATAGATTGGCTGCTGGTCGCAAGTGGTGGCGTCTCCACGTTTTGGTTTTGCTGGTGCCTGGAATTTTTTCCTAGACATATCCGAGTTGTCGCGTCCATTGGGTACATTTGGGTATTCCTGATCCGCGTGTTCGTTGGAGAGTTTCTGGTTGCTGCCGGTGGCGTCCCGTCCTCGGGTACTGCTTGCCATCTTGCTAGGTTGACACTCTATTATTGAGCTTTTCCGCTGTGATTTTGCATTCACTTCATCATTTGTATCCACAATGTGATGGAAATCCGCCAGGCTATATTTTTCGACATTTTTCTTCTTTTTCTTATTGCCAGGCATTGCGGTAAATGGTATGCAAGAGACAAGCTTGGAGAGAGAGAGAGAGAGAGAGAGATAGCGCGCTTCAGGCACTGTGGTGTAGTGGATAAGGTGGCGTTCGATTGTATCGTGACGTCAGTTTCGGTCCCATACAATTTGATTCTGATTGCCTTACAATTCCTTCAAAATTAATTAAGCGTACTTAATTAGTCTTCATAGCACGTTTTTTCGTCACCTTCTCGTACTTCCACTTTGCTGCAATATCGATTAGTAGGTCATTGCAGTGTGACCAGCTTTAATATTTAATTTATATTTTGTATAACTTTCAATAAATTCGCCGATATAGAACTCCACTCCTTTAAAAAATAATGATTACATTTTGTTTACTAGCTAAAAATTACCCCCGCAGTCTTGCGCCACCTCCTTTTATTTTCGATGACATGTAATATCGATAGGTCTGCAAACGAAGTGTGCCCAAACCACAGCTTTGATCAATTGCTCTCACGTTCCCCCCGCTCTCAAGAAGCCGCGAGTAAGTCTCGTGTTTAATTTCGCTTAATATCGTTGTTAAAGTGGTTGTTAAATTATAATTTAGTGTTTATTGTGTTTATGATAGTGCTGTGTAGTGTTTTCCATTGTTTTTTGTTTGTTTTTGTTTGGTTTCAGTGCGTTTTTTTTTTTATATTCTCTCTTTACATTTTGGCGCGTTTCTTCAGTTGCCGCTCTCTACAATTCCATACCATACCGCGTCCGAGTGCACCGTTATGTGCGGTAGCGTGTGTGGTGTGTGTAGTGTCTATTTGAAAATCGCCATTCTCATAACTCAACATGTTCTAGATTCCGTTACCTGCCGCAGCCGCCGCACCCCACCGGCCGATTGATGTGTGCAAGCGGGCATGAAAGAAAGAAATGACAAATCTCTGCAGAAACAACGGCAAATAATCGGGCACGAATATTTTCGGCAACGGTCGCAGTGGCGGTGGCCGAAAAGAATTTTGTAAATTATAAAAATATGCAAGTGCAATTTTGTAAATTAAAATCTCGTGAAACTATGTGGCCAACAGTCTGGGGATCATACATATGTATGTAGATATGTGCGAGTGTGTAAGTAATTTCTTTTCTTTTTGCCTTGTCTCATTAATACCCTTGCAGGGCGGGTATTTGTATTATAGCGAATTTATCTTATCTTATATGTAGCTGCCATGGAAAAAATGATTCTGCAAGGGTATCAATGCCTCGGTCCCCGAGCAATGCCTTTCTCTTTCGATTTTTATTGCTGCTGTTTTTTTTTTCGGTAATCTGAGCAGCAAATATCGCATCACATTGTCTGGGGCATCTCTCCCGTCTCTCACTCACTCACTCTCCGCCTCTCCCTCCCCCTCTGGCGGCAAAAAATTAGGTTAAAATGTTTACTCGAGCATTGCAGACAGGATTGGCAATAACCTCATTTTCTGTTGGGGGTCTCCGTCTCTCTTTCCCTCCCCTCTGACGTAAGAGAAATTTGTGCTTTCTGTTGTCGCTGTCGCTGTTGTTGTTGTTGTTGGGCGTAAGCCAGGCCATAACCGGCTCTCACTGCATCTGTTGTTTATCTTTTTGGGTCTAACGAAAAGTGACATAACATCAGAGGCAGACAGACCCTTGTGTGCGTCCCTTGTTCCTGGCAGTATCCTTGAAACTTTTCGACTTTCAATATTTGTTTAGGCCACAAAAATTGTGCCACAACTCAACGGTGGGTGGAATGAGTGCAAGGGTAACAAACAGCTGTTGCTCCACATATGTACATACGTACTGACATACATACACACAAGTATGTACGCCTGTGTGTTTATCTCGCTTACTCTCAAGCTCTCTGCTATTGTAATTGTAATTGTAATTTATGCAAGTCTCTGCATGTCTGGTGCGTGCGTCTGGCATAGATAACGGTTTTAATGAAAGTCCCTCTCGCACACGTCCACGCCCCGCACCCGGCCTAATGTTAACGCCTACGACGTGTGTAATTTTGCGAATGTGTGCGTGCGTGTATGGCTCATGCTAGCACATTTTAATAATCAATTTGAATTATTCATTGGCTAACGGCGGCAAATAAAATTCGATTAAAACACAACGCCTGGCTGCCCCTGTCGACTCCGCTGCTGCCACTGCCTCTGTCTCTGCCATCTAAACGCCTTGGGTTATTAGTGGCAATTGTGTTTCCCATTGCGTTGGCAGCAGCAGCAGCAACAAGAAGAGAAGCCGCAAGAGCAATGGCGCCCACGCAATGTCTCCACCATTCCCCCGCACCATCCTCCCCGCCCTTCATCGTTGCTGCTAAATGGCTTTGCCGACAGGCGGCGCTGTTGAGCAGGAGGAGACCGGAAGAGGAGAGCAGAGAACACTCTGAGCAATGTTGGAAGGCATTCCATTTATTATTATATTCTAATACAGTGGAGACACCTGTCTTGTGCTAGGGCCTGCACTTATGGAGACTTCCGCCACAAGTGGAACTTCCATATGGGGGCCTCACTGTACACACGCCGTGTTTCATTCATAATGTTGATTTGGCGTGGGCAAATTAAACAAAAAGCGAAAAAGAAATCTAGAAACGTAGAAAAATGAGCAAATGCGCACTGGAAGATGTCAGCAGAGCGAGTAACAATTTGTCAAAAGTTGCCGACTTTAATCTTTTGTAATGGGCGTGCTGGCACCTGCCTGCCCCTCATCGCCATAGAAATGGCAAAAATCATAAAACCACAATCTTCAAAGCCGCCTTAACGTCTTTGGCCACGCCGTCGGGCTTTGGCTTTGGCTTTAGATTGGGCTTGGGCTTGGGGGTCCGTCCTCCTAATGAGCGTAAGCCGAGAGAATCCACAAAACCCACACATGTGGGTGCCCGCATAGAAGCCACAAGACGCGTTTGTGGAACGCAGAAAGTGTCGTGTGGTACCATTTTCCATTAAAGCGAATCCCGCCTCAAGGCCAGAGCCAGAGCCAGCGCCACAGCCAGCGCCAGCGCCGAGTGCAAATTCAATAATCAAATTCCAAGATAAATAAGAATGGGCCAAGCCATTTAAAGTCAGGCAAATAGACAAAGCACTGATGGAGAAATTGAATTTGTCTTGGCCATTATTATAATAAAGACGCATAAAAATGGCAGACAGCAAATGGTTTTGTTCTTTTTGGGGGGTGGGAGTGATAAAAATTGAATGCCAAATGAGAGACAGAGTGATAAAGTCATATAGAGAGAAAAAGAGAGAGAGACAGAGAGAGACACACACAAGCTTAAGGCAGACACTAAAGGACGTGCTGTGCATTCAACAAACATTGCATAACACCCACAGCACACAGCATACGAAACGAAACGTGGCGAAAAAGCAAACGAAGAAGGAGAGAGGAGGCAGTAGCAAAAGCAGTAGAAGAAGAAGAAGTATAAGCTGTAAAGGGAGAGCAGTAGGCGCAGTTACATAAGACTCGGATTCGGGCTGCTGCGTAGGCGACGGCGAAAGCAATTTAAGCATGTCTGCTGCTGCGCCTCCCCCCCGTCTATCCACTCCTCTGCCTACTGTGTAGCTTCAAGGACTTTTGCCCACCGCTGGAAAATTACTGCATTGGCAGGGTGAGTGATGGGCTCTCTCTCTGTGTACCTCTTCTTCCCCTCTCTCTCTTCGTCTGTCTGGCTGTCTGTTTGGTCACAAAAGGGAATGCATGGCAGGGATAGGGATATTGGCAGGCGAAGAAGGCAAAGGCAAAAGGCAGCACACACAAAACGAGAAAACTTTCGACACGTGTCGCCGTTTGGCATTCGTTTTATAGGGACACTGAGAGCAATTGTTTTGGTCATTTATTTGGAGTTTCAAAGATTATTTCTATTCTTTATCAGCTCCTTAAATCCTTTTTCTATTCCTTACATTTAAATGACCTTTGACCGATTTCGATTTCTGCCCTTTCGTGTTTGTACCCAACACACTTTTTCTGGCAGTGCAGTCGAGAGCAGACGCGACAGAGAGGACCAAACCTATGCGTTTCTCCCCTGTTTCCAGCTGTTTCAGAACTTTTTCCTCCTGTTTTCTTGCTCCCTTGTTTTCTTGTTTCTTATTTTCAAGGGGGGTGGCAGGTGGGTGGCAAGTACTTACGGGTACAGAATGTTCCGGCTCGGTTGGAAAAAGTGTTGTTGTTGTTGCTGCTGCTGTTGTCTCTGCTGCTGCCGCTGCTGCTGCTGTTGTCTGATCCGCTGCCGCGGAGCCCGATGTGGTGTTGGTGGCGGTGCAGCTGGTGGCGGAGGCGAGTGGTAGGGCCAGAGCAGAGATAGCCTCGTTACCCGTTACCAGTCCAATCCCCGTTGACAGCACCGCGTTGTTGTTGCTGCGCCGTCGTTGCGACGAGCGACGTTTGTGGCGTATCCTGCGCGTCGCTGTTGCTTCTAGTGTTAGTGTTGCTGCTGTTGTTGTTCTTGCGGCTGCGGCTGTTGCTGGGGCAGAGCGTAGGGCAATCGCGGCCACCAACACACTGCCACAGGCGAAGCACACGGACAAACTAATGGCGATTAGCAACAAGCTACCTGTAAGACAGAAAGAATTTATGCAAAATTTAAGTGTTAGTTTTTATGAAAATATTCCAGCAAAATTACATATATCTAAATCTGATTAATGCATCCTAATGAGGTGCCATAAAAAGATCTAAAGTTGTTTATTATCGTTAGTATTTTATTTTAATAACCTTTTTTGTCGGGTATTTACTAAGGTTGATTTAAGTTGAAGAAAGTCGAACAAATAACTTATTCCTTTTCCGTTTATTTTTTTAAATTGAAATTTGTTTTTTTTTGCGGTAAATTGAAATAATTTATTCCCACTCACGCACTGTTTTAATTACTATAAATAAACGAAATAAAACGTCAAGCGAGTGCGGCCCGTTGCACAGCCGAAATAACAATGAAAGAGGAAAGAGTAAGAGAAATAGACAACAGAAACAGCAACAGCAACAACAACAACAACAAACAGAAGTAAAGCAAAGTAAAGTACGACTGTCGGCTATCTACAAGGTGCTGCGCTCTTTGTGGCGTAGACAGACCCCGGTACGGTACCCGCAGAGATATAGACGGACGGAACGGCCAGGGGACACGGACACACCACAGACGTATGCGTCTAGACTAGATAGCAGACGACTTAAGTGTGATACAAGCACACATGCGCACCATCGTAGCGGTAGTCGGTGAGTGAGCGACAGAGAGAGAGACTCACAGGCGAGCGTGTGAGTGAGCGCGCTAATGTAGGCGGACGGCAATTCGATAAACAAATAGGCGAAAAGAAGGCTATCGATGGAATGGGATGCACACAGGGAATACCCTGCAACCAAAAGAGAGAGGACGATTGTATGAATTGAATGCATGATTTGGCTGCTTAAATGCTTGCCCTAATTGTGGGATATTTACTCCCAAATGCAGGATATCAATGATACGCAATGGTGTACCTGCACAGCTTGAACTGCTTATTTATGCTTTCTATTTGGAAGATATGTGTCTAGACGTATATGAAAATTGTAATGCTTCGCCCCCCAAATAGATCCCCAGCCATTACAGTGCACAAACTTGGGGGTTATTTTTATAACCTTTTGTATTGCAAAGTACCATTGTAACCAAAACGCTTCAATTAGTAATGGGTATTATGGGCGATATGGCAACAGCATTCCAACCGACACGACACGACGGACGGACGGACAGACAGACGTACAGACAGACGGACGGAGACCCAGACAGCGCTGATAGAACGGCAGACAAACAGAGGCCACCCGTCGCGGTCGCAGACCCTGTAACAGAGCAAACATAGACGACAAAACACAGCCACAGAGAGATACATACGTTTCGTGAGAGATATACACAGATACAAAAGCGGCGATGGCTTGCGCAACAAGATTTTACACATTCACACAAGCAGTAAATATCATGACGCTCTGTCTGATATTCGGTTGCAACAACAGCAATTTGTGTGCGCGTTCAATGTTCGGGTGGAAGAGAGAGCAATTTTCATCAAGGCAAAAGTGACGCAGCTATGTAAACGTTGCCATCTCTATCGCACCCACTCGACCATGGGCTATCTCTGCCCCTATCGCTCTTTCTCTGACGATCAGTGAATGAAAATGAAAATATTCCACAAGAGTGACAGAGAGAGAGAGAGAGGGCATGGCTGTTTGGAGATTTTTCAGTAATTTATGATTTTAATGAAAAAGAAAAATGCTGCGCATAAAAAAACAAACAAATACCCAGTCAAAACAGAAACCGAAGCATTTGATACCCTTGATTGGATTGGGATTTGGGATTTGGTCATCATCTCTCTGGTCTCCCAAGGACTACCATTTGGCGGGGATCTTTCGTGGATATCTCTGCAATGCAAAACATCATAGCACCCTGCACTCTGCAAAGAGTATGAGACCAGAGGGACATGAACAAATTATACAACAAACACACACGTCACACTGGCAACGGGTCCGTGGCATGCCCAGACAGACAGCGAAAAAAGTTAATCAACTGAAATTAAAATGTACATCGCACGAAAAAAACAAAAACAAGCAACAAATTGAAAAATATGTCAACAATGTCTATGACTCTGCGACTCTCTGACTCTCACTCTGACTGGGGGAGGGAGTACAGTCAGAGTGTATGCACTGCTTGCTCTTCAGCAGAAACAGCAGAAACCGACGACGAAAAAGCACAAGTGGCAGCACTTTAGACTTTTGCGCATTCCCAGCCCCCATTCGTCTGTCCCGCGTCTGTCACTCAGGTTTGAACCGTCTCAGGTGACTCAACCATCAACCATCAGCCTGTAGCTGTTGCTGTAGCCTATCCTACGGTCGGGTCGAGTCGAGTCGCCATTCGCCAGTCACTCGCTCGAGGGCTGCCTTTTATAGCCTTTGTTTTTAGATAATTATATATTTTGTTGGTGTTGCTGTTTCTGTTTCTGGCTGTGGTTTGGGGCTACCCTGTAATCGGAGTGGCAGTCGGAGCAAAGCTAATGGCTATGGAGCCAAAGTCCGAGATAATATCCCATAAAAGCGAAAGATAGGGGAAGGAAATTCATTTATGATTTCATTTTATCATGAAATTATGATGCCAGATCAATTTTATTATGCTTCAAATGCTCTAAGTACGAAAGATATTCGTTTTTGATCTACAGGGTACTCCTTCAACTGATCATTCAATTTATTTGATATTTTTTTTAAATTGTTGCCGCTCGTTTCAGTTTGTTGCAATTAATTTTATCGCAAGTGAAATGATTGAGCACGTCTGGGGCCACGTTTACGTCTGGGACTACTAATCACCCGATACCCTATAAAATAAAGAGAGACTGAGACCCAACCCAGACCCCAGACCCATGAAAGAGAAAGGAATACCTGGCAACGGTTCAAAAGCTGTTTAAATGTTCGATTGAACCGCTGACGCACGTGTGGCCGGCCCCCGTCCCGTTGCGACTATTGAAAAGTGCTAAAATAATTGTGTGAATTTCAATTTCAATATTTGAATTGATCGCACCAGACTGCACTGGCACTAGCACTAGCAGCAGCCGCAGACGGGCGTCAGACCCACCATACCAACCAGACTGCGGGGGGGACAGGCGGATCGGACAGTTGGCTAACATTTTAGCGAGCCATAGCGCCCGACCGACAAGCAAACGGCTTTCGTGGCTATTTTTAATACTAGTGGAACGGACATTGAACGGTAGACAGTACTGGAACGAGCTTGAAAAATGCGGGGGGAAACTTGTTTCGATCTCTCTCTCTCTCTCTGTGTGAAGTTCCTTGACCGAATATATCTAGTGTTCGGCAGAGATAATGCCACTATATAATCGAGAGCAATTTCCCCCTAAATTGCATTTGATTGAGTGCGCGAGAAGAGAATGATCTACCTTTTTGGACTTGCCTTCTTTCTTTCTCTGGCACAATACAAGTTATTAATTCAATGATTATGATCGTTGCGCTAATGACAGTCAAGTGCAGTACTTGCCCCGTCCATTGCCAAAAAAGCCAAGCAGCAGCCCCGCATTGAGGGCAATGCCATTGACACCTTGATTGGATGTCAAGGTTGTGTGTGGATTGTGTGGATTGTGGAGACTGGACTCTGGAGAATGCCTTTTCCTCAGCACCTAACTAAAGCCATTATATCCAACCAGATATGCCAGATAGAGCGAGCTTTAGCTTTAGCTTTAACAATTCATAATACGTTGAGATGACATTGAACTTGAAAAATCACAAAGATCAGAGATATCATTTGATTTGTGCGCTTTGTTGTTGAGGAATTTCGTTTCGTTTTGCGTTGGTTTGTTTGTTTTTGTTGTTGTGTGTTTTCTATGTTTTAATGGTGATTTTTGCTTCGAAAAATATCATCAATTTATTTGGTAAGCAGTTGTATAAGCAGTGCTTCTCATTGGTAGATCAAAACGGTGCATTTAAGTAATAGAACAATCAAGCAGTTCAAGGTTCACATAAGGAAAGTGCAGTGAAAAAATCAAACAACAGGCGCAAAAACCAAATAGCGGTAAAGGAAGCAGTAGACATGCAGCAGAGCACAGCACAGCCACAGCACATCATCATCATCAGCTGACGTCAGGCGCAAGCATCGTCTGCGTCGTTTGTTTCTGGTTTTGTTTTTGTTTGGTGTTGTTGTTTTTGCTGTGTTTTTTTGGCAAAGAATTTTCGTCTAGTTTTCAGTGCACAAAATATTACAATGTTGTCTGGTGGGGCCCGCAAAAAGATGAACAGTCGTGCTGCTGTGGCTGTCGCTGCTCCCCGTCTCACCCTCTCATTTCGTAACCCCCTCCCTTCAGAGAGGCCAACCCTTTTTTTCTGTGTGTAGTGTTTGCAGCACCAGACATTGCGCACAGCAACAGACAGAAAAAGAGGGACAGAGAGAGAAAGAGAGAGAGAGCGAGAGAATGGGAGAGAGGTAGGGAATGCAAATGAATGAACAAAATGCAAAATGCAAAAAAAAAAGAAAAGAAAAAAAAAAAAAACTGAAACAAACCGCAGACAGCGACGTCGACCTCGCCCATTCCCAGGCAGCGGCTGATGATGAGGTGGCTTCTGCTTCTGCCTCTCCTCCTCTAGTCTCCCCGCCTGTAGCTTTGCTGCTGCTGCTGCTCGTGTTTGCCGCCTGTCGTTTGACCTTTAAGCGATGCGAGTGCATTCCAACAACAGCAACAACAACAACAACAAACAGAGAGAGGAAGAGAGAAATTCCCATTTTCAGGTTGATTTTTCAAGGGGTGCGGGGCATGGCATCTCCTGCATCTTTCTCCACCTCCTGATTTTTCCTCTCATTTTTGCTCATTTTCCAATTTGCAAACGCATTTAATTAGTGTGGAAAATCACGTGGCTAATTGTGTAAACGCTGGCGTATGCGCAATATTCAATTCATTCAGTCGATTACGTATACGCAGCGTTTTTCGCATTTTCTATGCGATGTACATATGTCGCAATATTTCATCATATTTTTAAGGTTCAGCGACTTTCTTGAGGGTTCCAGCGGTTTCGAGGGGGTTCGGGTTAGGGGGAAGAGAGGGATCAGAAGTA